AGGTATGTTAGCATATTGTTTTGACAGAACATGTCAAACTAATTATCAAGGACGCTTGCGGTCAGTGCGGCTGAACCAACTCTTCGATCTTTGGCCTACATACTTCGATTTCAAGAAATATTACACAATTTATTGGGAAATTCTCGAATAAGGTCAAAAGCGTGAGATTTTATCTATTCAATTTTTTTTTTCAAAAAACTTAAATTGCATCCAAATGTGAAGAAAGGACTTTTATGTATTTTATAAGATGGAGAACATAAGTCCATGTGTTTTGAGATCGTTCAAAGGTCAAATAGAGTTAAATCAAATCGATTTAAATCTTTCAAAAAAATTAAATGGCTCTTAATTGTTTAAACATGGACTATATCCGTATTTAAAAGATCGAGAACAATATATAAGGTTTTTTGAAATCCTCTAACTTCTAATAAAGTGAAATTTAAACGATTTTAAATTTTCAAAAAAATTTAAATTGTTTTCATATGTCAAATCAAGTACTATAATTGTATTTTGACAGATAGAGAACATTATACAACGTGTTTTGAAATCTTTCAAAGGTCAAACAGAGTGAGAATTAGACGATTAAAATTTTTCAAAAAATTTAAAATTGATTCCAAATGTAAAATTAAGTATTACATTTTTATTTTCACAGATGTAGAACATCATACAAAGTGTTTTGAAATCTTGCAAAGGTCGAATAGAGTGAGATTTAAACGATTAAAATTTTTCAAAAAATTTAAATTGCTCCCAGATGTAAAACTGAGTACTATATTTGTCTTTTGACAGATGAAGAACAACAATCGATGTGTTTTAAAATCGTTCAATGTCAAATAGACTTTGATTTAAACGATTTAAATTTTTCGAAAAATTTTAATTTCTGCCAAATGTAAAATCAATTGCTACATCTGTATTTTGACAGATGGAGAATATCATATAATGTGTTTTAAAATCATTCAAAGGTCAAATAGAGGAAAATTTAAACGATTTAAATTCTTCAAAAAATTTAAATGGTTTCTAAATGTAAAATTGAGTACCAAATTTGTACTCTGTTATATGGAGAACATCATACAGTATGTTTTGAAATATCTCAAAGGTCAAATAGAGGGAGATTTAAACGATTTAAATTTTTCAAAAAATTTAAATTGCTTTGAAATGTAAAATCAAATACTATATCTGTATTTTGACAGATGAAGATCATTATACAAAGTGTTTTGAAACCCCTCAGAGGGCGAATAAAGCGAGATTTAAACGATTTAAATTTTTCAAAAAATTTAAATTTCATCCAAATAAAAAATCGAAGATGAAATCTGTATTTTGACAGATGGAGAACATCATACAAAGTGTTTTGAAATCTCGCAAAGGTCGAATAGAGTGAGATTTAAACGATTAAAATTTTTCAAAAAATTTAAATTGCTCCCAGATGTAAAACTGAGTACTATATTTGTCTTTTGACAGATGAAGAACAACAATCGATGTGTTTTAAAATCGTTCAATGTCAAATAGACTTTGATTTAAACGATTTAAATTTTTCGAAAAATTTTAATTTCTGCCAAATGTAAAATCAATTGCTACATCTGTATTTTGACAGATGGAGAATATCATATAATGTGTTTTAAAATCATTCAAAGGTCAAATAGAGGAAAATTTAAACGATTTAAATTCTTCAAAAAATTTAAATGGTTTCTAAATGTAAAATTGAGTACCAAATTTGTACTCTGTTATATGGAGAACATCATACAGTATGTTTTGAAATATCTCAAAGGTCAAATAGAGGGAGATTTAAACGATTTAAATTTTTCAAAAAATTTAAATTGCTTTGAAATGTAAAATCAAATACTATATCTGTATTTTGACAGATGAAGATCATTATACAAAGTGTTTTGAAACCTCTCAGAGGGCGAATAAAGCGAGATTTAAACGATTTAAATTTTTCAAAAAATTTAAATTTCATCCAAATAAAAAATCGAAGATGAAATCTGTATTTTGACAGATGGAGAACATCATACAATGTGTTTTGAAATATCTCACTGGTCAAATAAAGCAAGTTTTAAACGATTTAAATTTTTCAAAAAATTTAAATTTCATTCAATTAAAAATTTGAATATGAAATCTGTATTTTGACAGATGGAGAACACCATAAAATATATTTTGAAATTTCACAAAGGTCAAATTGATAAAGATTTAAACGATTTAAATTTTTCAAAAAATTTAATTGCTTACAAATGTAACAATATGCACAACATGTGTATTTTGACAGATAGACAACATTAGACAATGTGTTTTAAAACCTGTAATAGCGCTTGATTTTACATTTGGAAGCAATTTAAATTTTTTGAAAAATTTAAATCGTTTAAATCTCACTCTATTTGACCTCTGAGAGGTTTCAAAACACATTGTATGATGTTCTCTATCTGTCACAATACATATGTAGTACTTGATTTTACATTTGAAAGCAATTTAAATTTTTTGAAAAATTTAAATCGTTTAAATCTCACTCTATTTGACCTCTGAGAGGTTTCAAAACACATTGTATGATGTTCTCTATCTGTCACAATACATATGTAGTACTTGATTTTACATTTGAAAGCAATTTAAATTTTTTGAAAATTTTAAATCGTTTAAATCTCACTCTATTTGACCCTTGAGAGGTTTCAAAACACATTGTATGATGTTCTCTATATCTCACAATACCGATAAAGTACTTGATTTTACATTTGGAAGCAATTTTAACTTTTTGAAAAATTTAAATCGTTTAAATTTCACTCTATTTGACCTCTGAGGGGTTTCAAAACACATTGTATGATGCTCTCTATATCTCACAATACAGATAACATACTTGATTTTACATTTGGAAGCACTTTAAACTTTTTGAAAAATTTAAATTGTTTAAATTTCACTCTATTTGACCTCTGAGGGGTTTCAAAACACATTGTATGATGCTCTCTATATCTCACAATACAGATAACATACTTGATTTTACATTTAGAAGCAATTTAAACTTTTTGAAAAATTTAAATCGTTTAAATCTCACTCTATTTGACCTTTGAGAGGTTTCAAAACATATTGTATGATGTTCTCTATTCGTCACAATACATAAATAGTACTTGATTTTACATTTGGAAGCAATTTAAACTTTTTGAAAAATTTAAATCGTTTAAATTTCACTCTATTTGACCTCTGAGGGGTTTCAAAACACATTGTATGATGCTCTCTATATCTCACAATACAGATAACATACTTGATTTTACATTTGGAAGCACTTTAAACTTTTTGAAAAATTTAAATTGTTTAAATTTCACTCTATTTGACCTCTGAGGGGTTTCAAAACACATTGTATGATGTTCTCTATATCTCACAATACAAATAACGTACTTGATTTTACATTTGGAAGCAATTTAAACTTTTTGAAAAATTTAAATCGTTTAAATTTCACTCTATTTGACCTCTGAGAGGTTTCAAAACACATTGTATGATGTTCTCTATCTGTCACAATACATATTTAGTACTTGTTTTTACATTTGAAAGCAATTTTAATTTTTTGAAAAAATTAAATCGTTTAAATCTCACTCTATTTGACCCTTGAGAGGTTTCAAACCACATTGTATGATGTTCTCTATATCTCACAATACAAATATAGTACTTGATTTTACATTTGGAAGCAATTTAAATTTTTTGAAAATTTTAAATCGTTTAAATCTCACTCTATTTGACCTCTGAGAGGTCTCAAAACACATTGTATGATGTTCACTATTTGTCACAATACATATATGGTACTTGATTTTACATTTGGAAGCAACTTAAATTTTTTGAAAAATTTAAATCGTTTAAATCTCACTCTATATGACCCTTGAGAGGTTTCAAAACACATTGCATGATTTTCACTATCTATCACAATACATATATAGTATTTAATTTTACATTTAGAAGTAATTTAAATTTTTTGAAAAATTTAAATCGTTTAAATCTCACTCTATTTGACCTCGGAGAGGTTTCAAAACACATTGTATGATGTTCTCTATCTGACAAAATACACATATCGTACTTGATTTTACATTTGGAAGCAATTTAAATTTTTTGAAAAATTTAAATCGTTTAAATTTCACTCTATTTGACCCTTGAGAGGTTTCAAACCACATTGTAAGATGTTCTCTATATCTCACAATACAAATATAGTACTTTATTTTACATTTGGAAGCAATTTAATTTTTTTGAAAAATTTAAATCGTTTAAATCTCACTCTATTTGACCTCTGAGAGGTTTCAAAACACATTGTATGATGTTCACTATTTGTCACAATACATATATGGTACTTGATTTTACATTTGGAAGCAATTTAAATTTTTTGAAAAATTTAAATCGTTTAAATCTCACTCTTTTTGACCCTTGAGAGGTTTCAAAACACATTGCATGATTTTCACTATCTGTCACAATACATATATAGTACTTAATTTTACATTTAAAAGTAAATTAAAATTTTTTGAAAAATTTAAATCGTTTAAATCTCACTCTATTTGACCTCGGAGAGGTTTCAAAACACATTGTATGATGTTCTCTATCTGACAAAATACACATATAGTACTTGTTTTTACATTTGGAAGCAATTTAAATTTTTTGAAAAATTTAAATCGTTTAAATCTCACTCTATTTGACCCTTGAGAGGTTTCAAAACACATTGTATGATGTTCATTATAGCTCACAATACAAATATAGTACTTAATTTTACAATTGAAAGCAATTAAATTTTTTTAAAAAAATTTAAATCTTTTAAATCTCACTCTATTTGACCTCTGAGAAATTATTATTTTAGTATAAAAATCTCAATCAAAAACTTATCTCATCTTGTTAAGAATCGGACGGAAGACCCACTCGTTGCTCGCAACGAGATCGTATCTAGTTATTATTATTGTTACTATTTGATATTGTGTATCTCTTTCTCGTACATCAGATACTATATTTTGAATTTTTGTGGGTAATTATGATCATAACCTATGTTAATGTTTAAGGTGCGACGCTCCAATAGGAATGTGAACGGAGCCCGGTACCTGCCAATCACGAAAGCAAACGCCCTAGACTAGTGCTTCTGCGTCCGATACGTCCCCTTTGAGCTAGCGTCCCAATGTGTGTCCTGTAAGAACAGCAGTATTTTTAAAGTATTGCAAGTCCTTAGTATATCTCACTTCATCAACAAAGTATGAGTTACAAATCTATTAGATGAACATGTCTTGTATTTTTTTTTAAGCAGAAAGAAGCCAGACTTTATGAAAAGTATATTTATCACTTTAGTGGTCCCATTTTGAATACAGCAGACATGTGAGTACCTTTTTGGTTAGATTTATTTATTTTATTTAGTTTGATTAAAAGCATATAAAATAAATCTGACTATTATTCTTCAGAATTATAAAGTCAATCTAATTGGTTTAGAGCAGTCATATGCAGGGAACACAAGCGAGCTTGAAAAGTGACAAATGTGTTGTCTCTCTTAAGATGAAAAATAGATTGTCGTAGTTATATAAGGAGATAACTCATGTTTATAGTTAGATAACTAATATACTCATATTTACAGTTAAACAACTAATATATATGCGGTATGGGTAAAAAAGAAATTATAAAGGTGACGTCAAAGTTGTCTGTTGACATTTTTTAAAGTAAGGAACCGGAGGAGTACAAGAGCTATTTAAATTATGTTCTACTCTGTCTTATAAATCATTTAGATTCTTTAGGATAATAAAAATATTATGGACTGTTTAGAAGGAAGACATCACCAATTATCATATTTGGTAGTGTTGTCACCCGAGGGCGCTTTCAGCCCTACTCAGAGCTAATAATTGTTTATATGTTATTATGGAATCAGGAGAACACAAGAGCTATGACTATTAATTTCTATTTAATAATTTAGATTCTTTAGGATAATAAAATATTACGACCTGTTAAGAAGGGAGACATCACCAGTTATTAGTTATGAATAGATGCTTCTTTTCAAGTAATAACATTTTTGAAGTCTCAGTCTTACGTTAGTCTTAGAACTGTGAGAAGGATATGGAGATAACGAACAGTATTCAGTCTCAAAGTCCATAAAACAATACAAAATAGGAGCAGAGCAAACACAGACCTACAAAGCATCAGTGCCATGGAGGAGTGAAAATCCCCTGCTGACCTGTCACACCCGCCGTGTGCTCCTTGTCAAGATCAGGAAACAACTAAAAATCCGTTGTCAATTCAGTGTATTCACAATGGACTAACATTTAGTATGAAAAAAAAAGTCAGTCAGCATTTAACTCAATGATAAACTGTATTTGCTGACAAGGTGTCGACCATAGAACAATCTTGTGAAATCAATAATTTTTTCATGCTTTACCAATTATCTGGCTGTAGTCAATATAAACTGTTGTTCCAAAAATATTTTTTCTGAAATATTTTTGAAACAAAGCTCTCATAGCATTTACTCCCTAGTTCGTCTGAGCTGAAAGCTAATGTGAGCTATTCTGATCACCCTTTTTCCGTCGTCGTTCGACGGCCAGCCATCCGTCTGTAAACTTTTCACGTTTTCATCTCAAGACCCAATGGGCCAATTTTAATCAAACCTGACACAATGCACCCTTGCGTAAAAGGGGACTTAAATTGTGCAAAACAAAGTCCTCTCACAAGGTATGATAATCAATAAAAGACAAAAATAGGGTGGGGTAATTACAAAATCTTCTCAGGAACCAAATGGGCCAGAAAAACTGAAGATTATGTAGAAGCATCCTGGGGTAGTGAAGATTCTAAATTGTTCAAATCATGACCCCCGGGGGGCCAGGCGGGGACACAATAGGAAATCAAAATTTTACATTGAAATATATAGAAAAAATCTTTAAATTTCTACTTATCAAGAACCATTTGAACAGAAAAGCAGAGAGCTATGTTGAAGCATTCTGGAGTTGTGTGAATTTTAATAGGGAATCCAAGTTTTACATTGAAATAAATAGAAAAAAAATCTTTTAAAATCTTCCTCTCGAGAACCATTGTGCCAGAAAAGCTGAAACTTTAGTGGGAGCATTATGAGTTTGTGCAAATATATTTCGTTCAAATCACGACCCCCGTGAGTAGGATGGGACCACAATAGGGAATCCAAGTTTTACATACAATTATATAGAAAACAAATCTGTTTAAAATATTTTTTCTCAGGAACCACTGTTCCATAAAAGTGAAACTCATGTGGAACCATTCTGGGGCATGTGTATATTCTAAATTGTTCAAATCATGACCAGCAAGGGGAGGTGTTAGTGAGGAACCACAATAGGGAATCCATGCTTAACATAGAAATATATAGGAAAATATTTAGAAATCTTCTTATCCAGAAACAATGGACCATAAAAGCTGTAACTTATGTGGACGTTTTCTGTAGAAATGTAGTTTTAAATTGTTAAAATCAGGACCGGAAGGGGATTGGGGTAGGGTGGGGCTGCAATAGATTTTACAAATGGAAAATCTGGTTAAAAACGGCATCACCAAAATTACTCAGGTGAGCGATGTGGGCCATGGTCCCCTTGTTTTCTATTGGGTAATTTTGGTACACTAGAAAGTGCTATTTTGTATGCAATTCAGAATTCGTTTGCCAATTTATATTTCTTGGTATATTTTGCCTCAATTTTCTTTCTTATCAAATAAAAACAATGGACAATGACTCTTTTTTAATAGATGGCTGTGTGTGTTTAACACGTCGGAGAGAATACTCGAAATCGGGTATTATCCGTGAAATCGCGTATAATACTCGATATTAGGGTATCGTTGAGTCCGCGAAATCGGGTATTCCGTGCAACTTTCTATAAAAATTAAAGAATAAAGCATTTATGCCAGTTACTGTTACTTGTACATCAGTATCTTGTGGATTTATTTTTATTAAACCTAATTCATAAGGTTGTCAAATAAGTTTTAAATCACACAACAAACACTGCTGGGGTAACAAAGAAGACACACTGGCGTTAGTATTTTTCAATATAATTTCTAAAAACAAATAATTGCACTTCGTTTGTCTTTATTTCCCATTAAAGTATTCCATATACTTAATTTTCTAATTTGTACACTATTCACAAAACGTGAAATTTTAAAGAAATTAAACGACTAACGCCGTGTTATGTATTTTTACTGAAAAATGTATGGCGTCCCTTTCTCGTGAAATATGAATTGCTCCTAACAGTTAGATAGTACAGTTTAAGCGAGTCATAATTGTATATCTCTGCAATAATAGAATGCCAACGTTATTATAAAGAAGAAAATAAAATAAGATGAAATAAATACCCACGGCAAAACAGCTTGAAAATAGCTAATTGAAGCTGAGTATATTTTTTTAATGTCAATTTAGTATGAAGACACCGTAAATTTTTGGGTTGCATTTTAATCGATACAAAATATACTATTTTACCTTTATTTTAGGCATTTGTGTGAAAATTGAGAGCAAGAAGTCATATTAACAGGATCTTCGTGATTGTTTTTTTTTTGGGGGGGGGGGGGGTAATAAATAAAAGTCAAATGTGTACATCTTTTCATGAAGTTAAATACATTGAATTTCTCAATATAGATCGAGGTACAGTCGTATTGAAATATGAATTACATAGTCAAGTTTTCACATTTCTTATAGTTTTTACGTTTATGAACATGTTAATGAACAATCTGAAATAATGGAGTGTTCAATTGCCTTGGAAACTCTTGTCTTACTTTTTGGGAATTAAATTCCTCATCGGACATTAAAATTTCATAAAAATCTTAGCCACTTCCTTTTTTTATCATAGGCGTCGGAAAGGGGGGGGGAGGGGGGGGGCCCACTTTTTTTCCCAATATATACTTAGTATAGACATTGAACCTTCTTACATAGATTAAGTCCCCTCCACTTTCCACAGACACCTCGCAGTATAGGCTAAAAATGGGTAAAGTTTTGGTGTTTGAAGAAAAAGTTAGGTACTCGAGTTTGAACCTACAATGTAACCCCCCCCCCCCCCTTCCCTACGATTAAAAAATATATGACCGAGTTTAACCGACCGTGACATCCAAAGAGAGGTCTCTTAGACACATGTAGAACACAGTCGAGGTTGTTTTATCAGAGGTGGTCAAGCCCCCCCCCCCCCCCCCCTTTTGAAGTCGCCAAGAAATGGTAAAATATTGATGACTTAGCGAAATTAAACAATCAACAGTTATGTTCTTTCATAAACTGTATTCCTGAAATTTTCACTGTCTCTGCTAAAATTTTGAAGACATATTCTGCAAATATGTTTGAATGGTAAATAAAAAGAAGATACAGGGTTCTTTTAGCCGAAATTTTAGACATTTTTATCATTACATTATTTATACATTCAAAAATAAATTTGATTTTATGCACAAGATGAATGTGAAAGTAATTAATGACGCATAATTAGATACGGTAGACAATCCCTTTTTATACATGGCATAATATCTGGTGTGTGAAATGTGTTTCCGTATAATTGGATTTATTTACAAATTGTTCATGTTTGTCGTGGTGATGTGGAATTATTATAAATTCTCGAATTCTGATACTTTGCAATTCTGTTGTGCTGGGAATGAACATATGGAAGAAGCATATACTTTCAACATAAGGTAAAATATAAAGCAAATCGAACGCTTTTTTGTGTGCAGATCATGAAATGAACTGAGCTCCACGGGTATTTGTTGTCCCCAGCGCATTAATCCTGACGCCCAAATTCTTACTTGGCTAGTGATAACTTTAGAAAACATGTGTATCTAGATGAAAGTTAACTCGGCAACATGCGCCATCCCATTGTTTAAGTTTTATTAGGTGATTACACCTCCTATACCCGATTTCGCGGATTCAACGATACCCTAATATCGAGTATTATACGCGATTTCACGGATAATACCCGATTTCGAGTATTCTCTCCGACCTGTTTAAGTGTGTATCTGGGTTTGGAAGGTGATGTTAGGAGTGAAGGAAATGGTTGAGCGTTTGTGTGCCTGTGCACTACGTTTCAATCTTGCTTAAGTTAACTTTTTTAATTATTATTACTGTCCATTCATTGCTTTAGACAGAGGGAATCATAACTACAAAGGAGAACTGATGTAGAGGAACCCCTATAATGGCCGCCAAAGACAGAGAATGCGCTTCCGATTTGGTGCAATCAGCATCTGGTGGAGTTTTATTGCGGGGTGTTTGCCTTGATAATCTTTCAGAAGTCTCAGCATGTAGACAAACATTAGTGGAATTGAAAAGGGACATTAGATTTAAGTCTCCCCAAACAAACTATTCATATTGCGATAGAAAAATTTCAAGTAGACAGGAAATGCAAGATTTTGAAAAAAAACTATTTACCTTTGGAATTAATGGGGCAATTAGTTTTACAGGTAGTATGCCTGTGGGAAAAGGAAATGTAGATTTAAGTGTGCTTACGAACTTTGAACGTCAAAACAAAAGTGATGATTTGGATTCAACCTCCAAAGAAAGTGAAATCAATATGAATTGCACTGTTGTTCCTACTGCATTATGGGAATCCAGTTTAGCAGACTTCAAATTAAGTAAATCTGCAACTGAAGAGCTCCTTGCTATCGAGAAAAGTTACTTAATGCTGGTATCAGAAGCAGATGCATTATGTAATAAATTTTTCGATAAATTTGGAACACATATCATTGTTGGATTTGTTCATTTCGGAGGCATAAAGCTGGCAAATACCATCAACGTTGAAGAAGGGTCTAGTAGAAATCTGAAGAGAAAGAAAACTAATGAAGTTCAGGGCTCAATGACTGGAAAATGTGGGGATGATTTAGCAACATTCGATATAAAGACAAATTGTTATGGGAAGAACTCAGATTCTCAAGCAAAGCAGATGTTGACAAAAGAGAAATCTGCTTCAACATACACCCAGATACGTTATATAGGGGGTCCCCAAAATGTTGAATCCGATGATGAGTGGAGAAGTGGTTTATTAGAATGCCCTTCTACATGGTCAGTTATTGACAGAGAAATAACAAAATGTCACAATTTCGAACCAGTCTGGAAACTTATATTACACGAAGACTCTTTTGAAGACCCAAAGCGTCTAGCCGAATACATAAAAAATAATATCCTTACAGAATCGACTGAAATTAATTTTGTTCTTTTCGAAAATGAAAGAATAAAAATTATAATTGATAGCCAACTTGCGAGTATTAAAAGTGACGAAAGCGAAGAAAATTGCGTGATTTGTATGACCCGGTTACTAAATGAAATAATTAATCTTGAGCACGAAGATGTTTGGAGAAGAACTTTAGAAAATTATCATCCTGCATCAGAAATACTCCTTTTGACAACACAACATGTAAAAACAGCCCAAAATGAAATTGAACTGAAAAGATGTCTTAGCAACATACTGAAGCATAGTGGAGGAGTAAAATTTCAAGACCAGTTTGAGGTATTGAGATGGCTTCATAAAAGTTCTCAGGGAAGATTTGGGAAACTGCCTGATATCAAGATATCTGATGTTAGAGAACTTATAAATTGGTTAGAAAAAGACGAAATCTTCAAAATAGCACACTCGCTTCCAGACTTCAAAGAAGAGCCAGACTTTTGTCTCACAAACGTTTTTTGCAAAGCTGTTTCAGTTTTAATCAGCAACGTTATGAGACAGGATTATCACTCAGATTATCTTTTACTTCTCTCAGCATTGATACCTTTTGATTTTGATTATCGAGAGGGTTCATTTCGAACACAGTTGACGGTGCAAAGGATAAAAGATTTTTTAAAACACATCAAAAGTGTTTCGGAGGCTTATGATGACCTAGCAGCTAAGTCAATTGTTATTCAACACGCGTGGATCTTAAATTTATTGCTATCCAACATAAAAGAAAGATCAAAAAATGAAACCACTGACCTCATTGAAGAAATTTCAAAGGAGGAAATAAGATTAAAAGAACCAGTAATTAAAATCGTGCAAGATAGTGACGGCTTAAAAGACATCCAAAACGAGTTGCAACAGCTCCAAGAAGATGATAAAGAAAAACTTTTATGCTGGAATTTCTTCAAAGGAAAACCATTTTTTCCTTACTCTGATCGAATTTCTACCAAACAACCTTCTGCTTCCAAGCCACCAGACGCCATATCAAAGATCATGCAGGCAATGGGCCTCTTGGAATATTATCCCGGAAAAATAACCTTGCAGAAAGTTCTTGAAATTGACGAAAACACATTTAGAGAACCTGAACGTCTTAATGAAATTTCTTTTGCTGTCTTAAGAAAAATAGTTTCAAGTAGCACTGAATTTCGTGAGAACGTACTGAATGAATATCTGTCAAAGACACCAACATCTGGTACTAGTTTTTTAGATAGTGATGAAGAATGTTCTGACCACGAAGATATTGGTGTAGAGAATGAAAATCTGCATCCTTTAGATGTTTTTCACTGCATTTTTTTATGCTGTGATCCGTTTTTGAAAGCTACACTCTGCAAAAAAATTGCTGATGTTCAACTCGCGATTCCTTTAGTTTATCCCTACCTTGAGGACAAACTTATTATTTCTCTTTGGCCTTTAAGAAACATTTTCATAGGTGATCAAGTAGATTCAATGGCAAGGTCCCGCATTAATTCAATTTGCTTTTTAAGAGTTGGGAATGTGTCTTTTATGTCAAAATCAAAACTCATCAATGAATTTATGAGAGAACAAAATGTTGAACATAATACATTTTTCCACAGGCAGTGCCCATTGGGTTCAAATAAGCGCACAGCGTACAATGGAGTCATTGAAATTTCATGGTATATTCCCTCGGAAACAAATGCAAGTACGAAAAAAGAGAGAGTTGGTGAATATATCAACAAAAAACTACTGATATTGAACTTGAGGGGAGATGTAACAGAGTTTCCAAAGCAGGCTGAATTAATCTTGCAAATGTCAAATATTGTAGTAGTCCTTGTAGAATTTTCCTGTCTTAAAGACAGAAAAATAGTCAATACACTACGAAACTTTCATGAAAGTGATGTCAAAGTTATCATGATAACAAATAACTCTCCTTATCTTGAACTTAGAGATATAACTAAGACGTGGAAAGAATACATACAAATTGCAAATGTGACAAAGTCTAGAATACATCCCTTGCATACAACAGATCCAAAAACAAAAGGAATAAAAAATGCAGTGAGTATAAAGAAAGAGCTTGTAAGAGCAGTACAAGAATTCTTAAAGTTAACATCCTACGAAATTATTCTTGAAAGTATTGCGAACAAGGCCCCAGAGTTCATCATAGTTGATGAAGCACAACATGGCTGTGAATTAGGTAGAGTGGATGCTGAGGGAATAATGTCAAAAATTCGAAAAGTGGCCGATGGACGTGTAGATAAAACAAATGCTTTGCCATTACAAGGAAAACAGCTGTGGCACGAGTGGAGTAGGATACAGAAAGAATTATCTAATACGGAAAAATCCAGGTCAGAAGAAGAAATTGATCAAATGAAAACTTCTATGTTAAAGATAAGAAAAACGCAAACAGAAGTTTGCAACTCTGAGAATAATATTATTGCTGATTTTGTCAACAACATACTTTGCTTTGAAGAAAATTTGGAAAAGGTAATATTTTTCCTTTCATGGCTTCAGGAGATTTTGGATAGCGAGTCTAGAAAGGTTCTTCCCTTGAAAATTAAATGTGTATCAGAAACGTACGAACTATTTAAGGCAGGAAAAAGAAAGGAAGCTGATGTCAAACTTGCGGAGGAAAATTTGTCAAATGCTTCATTTGGGCTGGAAAATTTCTTTCGTGAAATCGGACAGATCTACGATTGCTATACGTATTGTGCATTAGAGGGAGGATACATGATTGAATTATCTACATTGTCTGTCATCCAAACACTTCCGAAGATTGTGGCGAGACTTTTAATTTCTGGTCAGCCTTTTGAAATAATGGACGGAGATGCTGTAAATATCCCAATATATTGGATGAAAGCTGTGTTTAAAGAATTAGAGACACTAATTGGGAATAAAAAGGTATTTTCATTGTCGGTGGTTGGTGTTCAAAGTTCAGGAAAATCAACATTGTTGAATTCAATGTTTGGTTTAGAGTTTCCCGTCAGATCAGGTAGATGTACGAGAGGAGTCTTTCTTCATCTGATTCCTGTGACCAAAAAAATTGCTGATATTGATTATGCCTTTGTTTTTGATACGGAGGGTCTAAATTCCCCTACATACGGTTATAGTAGAACGAAACATGATAACAAACTTGCCACTCTCGCTATTGGACTTGCTGATACTGTGATAATTAATATCATGGGGGAAACAATTGGAGAAAGCATGGAAAACACATTAGAAATAGTTATACACGCGTTAATTCGTTTGAGACAAGCAAACAAGGATATCGAGTTGAGTCAATCTTGCATGTTTGTGCATCAAAACGTTTCAAAAATGGGTAAAGGTATTGAATTGAAACCTAATATGCAGCGTCTGTATCAAAAGTTAGACCAGGTAACTAAGGAAGTTGCTATTCGTGAACATTTAGATTACGTTACATCTTTTAATGATGTCATATCATTTGATGTAGAAAGGGATGTTTTACATGTACCAAACATTTTACAAGGTCATCCACCGATGGCACCTGTGAGTCAAAAGTATAGTGAAAACGTAGAAAAAATTACCGAGCATATATTGACGCAGTGTTCTAACAAAAAATGTCATTCGACCATACATGACACCTGTGATCTTCTTGAAAGTGTATGGAAAGGAATATTAGCAGAAGACTTTGTTTTTAGTTTTCGTAACTGTCTTGAGGGTAAGGCGTATAATCTTCTAAATACAAAATTTAAAGCCTTGAATTGGGAAATTGAAAAGATGTTACTTACGTTTTGGACTGAAAAAGTGAATCAAACATTGCATAAATGCACAGAAAGAACCATTGATTCAGAGGAATATTTTCTTATTGGGGAATTCACCAACAAATTAAAAGAACTTGTTGATTTGAAAAAGGAGGAACTATGCAATTTTTTTGAGGAATCTGAACTACGTGACCACATGGTGCGCTGGAAAAATGGAAAGCTGAATGATCTTATAGAATCATCTAATAAAATCGGCAACAAATTTGAGAAAAGAATCAAGCAGATGGTTGTTCATTTTAAATTAAGATTACAGAATGATGAAATGGGATCTGAAGAAAAAATTATGGAAAAAGTGTCGGATTATGCAAAGCAATTACAGGGAAAAGATATTTCAGAAGAGGAGAAACGAAGTATGTTTCAGGAACTTTGGAGGACATCATTAAATGAGCTTGCACCTAATTTTCCAATATCTTCACATGCTCAAAAGCAAAAGGAGTTACTAGACAAAATGAAGGATGTTTTGCACGACGAGTTTGCCTTTCATACTAGATTACTAAAAAAGGATCTTGAAAGCTATGATTCTGATGAAGGCTTTGGACTATCTGATCTAACGGCAGATATAAAAGATATTGATGAAGATTGCATATATGTAAACTCGCATTGGAGAAAATTTCAGAAGATATTCTTTGACGTTTCGAAAGATTATAAACAGAAGACGTTAGCAATCACAAAACAGATATTTAACTCTGTTTCAAAATATTTGAATGACCTACGATACCAGGATGTAGAATGTGACGAAACTCATTTCAGATGCATTTTAAAATTAGCTACTTCGAGTTTTCAGGAAATAGATTCTGAAGATCGTGAGTTTAGCATCACTCATATCTATAGAATAAGAGTCGCAATACGAATTGCCAGATATTCGTTTTGGAATTTTTCAGAAATGAACAGAAGCTATGAAGAAAAGCATAACTTATATTCTTTCCTTCAAACAAGAAAATCACAAGCGGAAAGGGTATTCTTCGATACAATTCAAGAAAAAGCTGACTCAGAAATAGTTTCTAATTACCTATGCATCGAATTGAAAAAGCAGATGAAAACAAAAATTTCGAAAAAAATGTTCGTAATGGTGAAGGAAAAGATGCTAGAGTGCTTTTCATTCATGAAATCGAAAATGATTAAAGAAATAATGATTGAATTAGCAGAAAAAGATAGTTTTAATGATTACATGGAATACATAATGAATCCTGAAGCCTTCGTGAAAACATGGATAAGACAAAAAACGCGATCTGAATGTTTCAAAAACAGAGGAGACAAGGTTTCTTTTGTCGCAAGAAAAGCTGAAAAAATGTTGTCAGGGGATGTTTCGACTCTAACTAATATTGCTAAAAGAGCGACAGAAGATAAAGATATAAAGACGCTCGAAGATTGGATTCAATGTTTTTGCGAAAGCGTACATTCTTTTGAACTAGAAAGGGGGTATGTCTCCCTATTTTCAAAATATCAAGTAAGAGATCTGAAGTCTTTCTGTGAGATTTTTACAGCACAAATAGGAAAGGTCGAAGCCGAACTCCTGAACACATATGCAACAGATAACCCTGATGATATTGAATTGGATGGAAATAAACCATATGAAGAAGTCTTTCAATCTCTGTGGGGATGCTTAGAGCACTGCCCATTATGTTTAGAACCATGTCAGTACACAGACTCAGATCATTGGAGAAAAGACAATATTCCACATCGATGTGTTCAACATAGGCCTTTTGCTCTGGGTGGAAACTTCCTTCAGGAAAACGATAAGTTGATGATTCAAACATGCAATTCGAACTTCTTTTTGCAGGCAATGTGGTGGGTGGTGTAATTGTCCTACAAAAGACTATAGCATTAGCCATCCTTTGAAAAAATATAAGACTTTTATGCCATCCTGGGACATAAAGCCATTAGTAGACGCAGATGGATCAACATATTGGTGCTGGTTTACTAACAAGTATTCAAAACACCTAGCACTCAATTTTGCTAAAGAACCCCCTCCTATACCACGACATTGGTGTGGAATTTCTAAAGAAATTGCATTATGTAGTTTAAGTGAAAAACAATTCAAAGAAAACACCCAGCTAGATTCGCTTTTATTGGCTAAGGTGCCATTTGTGAAAAAGATTGAAAAATCGCTGAAACACTAATCACTTTACTATTGATTATAAACTTTCGAATTCAACATGTGACATTGTAAATATATAGTGTTTCGTAGTTTAGAAGTAGTGCTAGTTGTTTCTCGTTTTTCTTGTCTATGCACATGTTTGTTCATGCACATGTAGTCCTTGAATATATAAAAATCTAAATAGCTTACATTACACTGTAATCAAAGTAAGTCATTGTACACTTTCCTAATATTTTCTATATTTTTGCTTTTTTGAATAGCACTATGTACATATAAAAGGTCCCCGGTTTCAATTAATTTTTACCATGTTTTATTTCTTTGTTCTATATTTATGTCATTCTAAGTTTTTTGTCTTAATCATTAACTGAATCATTTTCAATGTAAAATTAATATATACATGTATTTTTCACGTTTGTGTCTTGGGAATTTTTTCTTCCAAGAGGACGAAAAAGTACTCTTCCCTGTGCTTCGAATGACGCTCTGTCTTTGTTATGTTCCTTTAATAATCTTTCCTTTGCATGAGGAGTAACGAAATTTGGAATGCAGCATGACTTCCAAAAAGTCTTTTTATTCACACATTCCCATTCATCTAGTGAAGTTCAGCATTAAGAACAATTTATAGTCACCGGTAAGGATAATGTTGTGCAGACACCTGAGTAGGAAATTTGACGCTCATAATGCTAATTTTCTTTTAAATTGATTATAACATAAGACTATTTATTGAATTTTTGACTACTGTTGAAATGATATTGAATGTACGTCTTGGGCATATAAAATCAAAATTATTTGATTACAATAATTACAAAAACATGAAAGAATATTTGGTATTGTTCAAAATTTTTTAGGATACTGGTCGTTACAATTAACATTAATCTGTATTATGACTTCTTTTGAAACTATTATATTATGGTTATTATCGTTATTATAATCACCAGAATATTAATTGATATTTTTTGGCAATTATAGCTATTGTTTTTGTTCTTCTATGTTCATGTATATCATTGTTAAATCGCTAATCTTGGTACATATTGTATGGCTATTAAGGTTTTATGTATGGGAGAGGATTACCAAAGTTTTTGGAATTCGTGTCCAATCCATTTGACATATTGTCAATGAATTATTTTCAAAACAAAAAAAAAACTCTTCTAAGAGAGATGTGGAGTACTTTTTTGAATTTCCGTATTGGATCTTCAAAATCTGTTCACGATTGCTGCTCAAGGACTGTTCAATGAAGTTCAGTTTGATGTGAGGGTGTCCTTAATTTTACGTCGACTTGAAGCTACATCAGGAATAATGCTTACAGTTTAAGGTAGCTGATAAATGTGATCTATGAAATGTTAAAAATTGTATAAAACTGTAGCCCATTTCAATAATTTGGTATACTGTGGAATTATTATTGTTATAGGGACCAATTAATATCTTCTTTCTTTCGTTGTCGCCCGCGTGGCGCAGTGGTTAGAGCGTCTACTATAGATAAAAGAAGTAAGGAGTCAATCCTTACGTCGCGGGTTCGAATCCCACCTAGGCACGTGGAGATCGGTTCTTCAAATGAGATTGTATAAACCGAGGTACCGTGTATGGAAAGCTATAGCATTATATGAGGCATTATATTATACTAAAATTTTAAAATGGCAACTGAAATTTTTGTTCAGTTCCCTTTAAAATCGCAACAAACAATCTTTGTCAACATATGTATTCACCGCTTCTTCCGTTCACACTGCTATCCCAAGGAAATTACACTTTAAACGAATCAATAACTTTTAAATTGGCCACGGACATTTACATCCCGAAATATAATGATTCCACAGCATAAAACCACGGTATTTACATTCTAATTTGGTTTCAAAAAATTCTTTTTCAGAATCCATTTATTGTCCAGTTCTCTCATGTGAGATTACATTTAAAAGTTTCATCCTGATTGTGATAAGTAAGTAAGCAGCAAAGTAATGAAATTTTATTTTACATTTGCCATGTTTGCATCTCAATTCAATATAAGTTCAACTTGTTACTTACAAATTATATGATTGTTTTTAAATATATACATATTCAGCTGAAAATTTCTTTTTTGTACATTTTTTGACAGTGGCCTTTAGATTACTTTTGTTGAATCCAACAGTGTCTTGGACTGCAATGCCCTGGTCGGTGGAGAAAAAGAAATGTACATTCCGGGGCCCTCTAGGTGAAATACCAGGTTCTTTTTTTTTCGAATTTATGCCCTGTTATCAAAGCTACCCATTCATCTATTTAAGTCCGTGGTATGATCCGTCTCAAGTCACAATATAAAGTTTAAGTTTGAAGTCGGCGAAATGGAAAAGATAAAGATATATAAGACGTAGACTGTGAATATTAAAAAACAATATCATCTTGCCAATTTCAGAGAATCCGGCAATGACGTTTTATTCTTCATTATTATATCGTTCTGTAAATCAAAAATATTGTTCTGTAATTGAAATCTGTGAAAAACTAAATCAAAAGGCATCATGTATAAGCAGATATTGCAAATCATTAGATGAATTTGGAGTACTATTAGAATTATTAGTCAGCCCGCGGGCTGACTAGTTATGGTACGAAGAACTTCCAATGCGCTTGCGTGACCTGGAATTCTGGGAGTGGTTCTGCAGTAAATCACTCCTGCTAATTTTATTTCAGTAAAATCGATATAGATTATGAACCATCAAATACCTGTTTAATACCAAGGCAATCTGTAAATTTAACTCAAAAAGGAATTTCCCGATGCTTATTTTTGTATAGAAGGTTTCAGACAGTTTACTGGTTCGCAGTAATTTAACTGGTTCGCACCTGATCATGTTTTCTACGCAATCGGATCACCTCGCCCTTTTCCGTCGCAGGCTAGAAAAAAGTTTTTTCTAGCCTGCGAAGGAAAAGGGCGAGGTGATCCGATTGGTGTTCTACGCAGCAAAGCATAGTTTGCTACTGTTGAGTGAATTTAGTGTTTGTCGCGTCAATTGAAGCTCTTTTATAAAATATATTGAAGGTATTTTACTTATGTATTTAAATCTACAGCACAAACATTCGTTTATTACATATTTTTAGCTTTTCAGTTTTTACTGCTTTTACTTTCGTTTTCACTACAAATCATTTCGATCCCGATGCTAAATAGCGGACAGACTTGTTAAGTCATACAAAAGATACTTCGGAAAGTAAACACAACTGGCTAAGGTTGCTTGTTTGTTGCCCCCCGCTGAAATTAGAGAATATCAATTTCAGTCTGTCTGTCCCTTCATCTATAGTTCTGTCTGTCTGTAACACTTTCACTTTCCCGCAATATTGCCAATCTCTACCCAGAGTTGTCGTTCGCTTCGTATAAGTGGAACGATAACTCTGGGTAGAGATTGCAATATTGCGTGAAGTCTTTGGGCTTTTGCAGTGAAATTTTACACAACTGTTTACACCTTATATGGCCTTTGGAAGACCCTCTTGATTTTGAGGTCAAAGGTCAAGGTATTAATTTCAGAAATTCTGTCCGTTTAAATACTTGTTTTCGCGCGATATCTCTATAAGCCATTGAGCTTTTGCAATGAAATTTTATACCAAAACTCCTTATGGCCATATACATGATCTATATGGCGTAAGGAATACCCCTGTGTATTTTGAGGTTCAAATGTCAATGTCATAAATTCAAAACTTTTATTTCCAGTCAATATTTGAAGAAGGTTTTGAGTTTTTGCAATTAAATGTCATAACTCCCTATGGCTATGCCCTGGACCCCCCCCCCCCCCCCCCCCCCGATCTGCGCATGCTTTTTTATCCGTAAATTGGCTTTTTTTCATAAACTACGACCTGATGATCTAGGTTGTGGCAATCATATTTATGAATTAATAGGTTTATTATATTAAAAAAGGTCTGATAAATGAATTTATAACGTATAATTTATAAGAGTGATTCAACCGGCGGCATGATAAACTCTAACTAGGATGATAGTGAAGCTCATTGGGCTTCGTTTTGTTAAAAATAGCATAATGTCCATATTTCCCTCCCCCCTAAAATCTTATAGGTCTGATAATGAGATTGTAGGTTTATAACCTCTTTGAATTATGTTACGTAAATTGGAACTTCAATGTTTATACATACTTTCCGTTCTTTTGATTTTGAGATAAAAAATGCAAGAATCTGCATGCACAAATGCTTCTGTTCCTATGCAGAAAAAATATTAAGACGATGTTTCAATTTTAGTGCCCAACTCTGCTACTAATTAAAAAAAGATTTGTTTTTAAAAATGTAGAAATTTATTTTGTATATTGTTTAATGGACGTTGAGATTGAATACTGTTCGTTATTTCCATATTCTTCTTGAAGGCACTTTTTCAGTTCTCTATATGATTCTTTAAAATATTATCACCGAGAAGAAAATCCACTGGCTGACTCTCTAAGCTTTTTTTAAAAGCTAAACTTGTATGTATCTAGGTTAAGAATTTTGTTTGTAGAACAAGGATTGTCCGGGGAAACGTTGCCAAATAGTCTATAAGGAGAATATTTAAACATTGATTTCTTACATGTTTATCTATGCACATTTATGTTAAAATTTTACTGGCAGACCAAGGCAACATCGCAGCTCAGTTTGTTTCAAAAATTTATAACAGAAGACATGTTAAGTTTGAAAATCTTGTTATTTATTTAAATGACGAAAAATGAAATCCATTTATAAAAACAATTACCAAAGAATTTGGCTGGGAGACATAACAGAATCATGGAAAGCTTGACCAGAGATGCAATTCAATAAATGATTACAAAACAGTGGTCTCCCAGCCACAATATTGTTACAACATACAGATGTGATAATGCGGTAAAATACAACATCAAACTTTATTGGAAACAAAAGTGGTGCATAAAAAGCGCCATCAATCCAACGGGTTGAAGCACCACTCAAGATGTTGCCTGGTAAAACCTCACGTATGATGTAAAATGTTAAATTATTTTAAAAAATGGTTGGTATTTGAAGCTAATGAACATCATGCACATACAAACATATTATTTACTTAAAATGCTCGGGGGGCAAAACTCGATCTGTAAGAAAAAATGAAGGATTTCAATGCACCTAACATATAATTTAAGAGTCTTCTTGCTTGTAAACACTATTGGTATTACTCATTTATTATGGCCTTACATAAGAAGGCCAACATAAAATTCTGAACAGGAAGTAACAAGTGATGGAAATCAGCAAGTAAATTATAAATATTGCTGAAACTTGCCCTAATGTATATCAAATTAAGCAAACAATTCTGAAACATAACAGAGCATACAAATTGTGAATCATTTAAAGCTATCCTTGATACATTTACATAATTGAGAGTCCAGGGAATGAATCGAACCTGCTGAAAATCAAGGGAATCTATTACGCGGTAGCACTCCGAGTAAACAAGAAGTATATAAATAGGCAGTCTTGCGCGGCAATCTGATTGGCTGAAAACAGCTAAGGCCTTGACAAAATTTATGGACGCGGTAAAACTGGGTCACTGAAAGAACCGGGTTTACAAATTAAAGGTTTTGTAAAATTACAAAAAAGATAAACACACTGACATCCACAAAAATACATAATGATATTTTTAACATAAATCGCTTGATTTGAAAATAAACCTTATTTGCAAATTCTATTTGCTATACCGGCTCACGGCGCACGGATAATAACATTGAAAAGTCCAAAGCAAGGTCTCGTTTCAGTATTGCTTGAAAAGTTGGATCATCTCTACTTTAATTCTGGGATTTTCTACTTTCCCGCTCCAAAGTTTCTGTAAAAATCGGAAAAATATGATAAATCCTCAAATTTTTTAATAAGAATACGACAAGATATATAGGGAAATAAAAGAAAAATTAAATTCTACACCAACCACATTTATAAAATACTTTTATTTCGAAATAATACAGGAATATTCTGTTATAAATCCTTAAGGTATTGGTGCGCGCGAAAGGGTCATACCCTGTGGACAATCAATAATTTTAAAATCTTTATTTCTTAAATAATCTATTAACTATACATTTAATAAGATGTTCTAAAATATTAACATTTATTGAAAATATCAGCTCAGTACGCCATAATATTTCGATAAAAAAAACGATGTCCACAAGTTTACCGGACAATCCTCGTACACATATCTTGCTGCATGTTTAGATAATTAATAAATCTATCAAACATATATGTTGTTATATAGACATAGATTTAAGTGACCACGAATTGTTACTTACGTTATTTATTTTTTTTTATTTGGGTCTTAGTTTGTCTTATATACTGTGTATATGTATATTTCTTTTAGTAAAAATTAATTTAAGATTTTGAACAAACAACGTGTTTAACTTGTTCTGAATTCAAAATGCAAAACTCTTACTAATTGTTTTCTTTGTAAGTTCAATGAAGAATGTTGCCTTATTTCCAGAAATAATTATTATTTTAGTCAAACTATTGAAAGTCTTCATCCTTTTTTTAATACGACAAAGTATTTGTGAATCTCCTTTTTTTTTACTGAACAATTCATGTACATGTATACATGTAGTATATGTAGTGAGCCTATAACGTTCGTGCAACGAGCGTACTGCATGTTTGATAGGAGCATATTTCGGAGTCTGTTCAAGACAACAGTACATGTATACAAACTTAAGGAGGTCAAAGCAGATTTCACTTTGTTCAACAGATTTTAAATTATTGGTCACCGAAATATGGCTAAAATCTTGCTGACTCGGCGTTAAACAATAATAATCAATAAATCAAATTATGCAATGTGATGTATGCAGCACTAATTATTATTTTTGTTGTTGTTGTATTTTTAACAATTATATCTTAGTGAAATGTACACCAAGTAATTTTTCATGGATAAAAAAATCACGGAATACTTTTTTTTAACAAATGTTTTAAAAATGTACATGTACTGATATATATGAACTTCAATTATGAAATATTATTGTACTTAATTTGAATTCACGTTTACGTTTAGTTATTGGATATAACTGAATTGATATTTCTAGGATGATGTAATTAAATAATATGGATATATTATTACTAGTACTTTAAAAATATGGGTGGTTATCAAAAAGTGCTAGGACTAGCGACATGAATTAAAACCTGCGTGAGGTACATCACTGAAGTTTTAAACATTTAATAAGCATAATTACTTTCTATTTATTAAATAAACTATGTATTATAAGTTAAGTTTTATTTTTTATGAATTGTTTATTTTTTTGTAAGCAATGGTATATCTAGGCGGTGCAGCCTAAAACCTGGCGTATTTTCTACCTGATTGTACCTGAGGAAAACTCTCGGTACAAGCAAGAAAATCTCTTTAATACCCTCTTGTGATACATGTATGGCACAAGTGTCTCTTAGAAATAGAAATATCGCCTCATTCTGTAACATCGGTCCACGAACTTTTTGATAATCCCTCGTATATATGTTTTAATGAAAGTATGCTTTTTATACCTTCCTTAATATTAGTTATAAATCTGTATGTTATTGTTCTTGTATTTAAATCAATAAATTGATATATTCCACGTAAAAATTATTATTCCTTATTTCTACGTTGCA